TTCCAATTTCATTACTCAGAGATACATGTGTTCAAAATAGAATTAAGTAATAAAGGTACAAAATTCCTATTTTGCAATTTTGTATTTGATAAGCATGGTCATAGTGGCTTAAACACTTGTTCAGTGACTTAACTTAGAACTTAAAGGCACCATCAGCCACTCATGGGCACTGAGCACTTGACATGTAGCTAGTGTGATGGAGAAGTGCAACTATTAATGTGCTTTAATTTAAACTTACACAGGCTCATGTTGCCATAGGCCACCCCATAGAAGTACATCTCTGAAGACAAGCGCCATCCCCCTTGCTTTGCCAAGGTCCTCAACTTTACTGCACAGCTGGGCTCCTGATCCTTTCTCAAGCCCTGCAGGAGAAGAATGCCTCTGCATGAAGCTCCTATGGAGCATTTCTGCTCCATAGAGGTTATGCAAGCAACACCCTCCGCTGGCACACTGCAACCTACATAAAGAGAAGACCAGGTTCTTTTTCTTCTTAGTTACCTCAGCTTCCAGCAGAAGGCCTATATTCATGATGGATTCTCATTGCAGTTTTGTGAACTGAAGTGAAATTGTTACAAGCACCTCATTAACTAGAGGAATTCAAGTTGAGTCCTCCAGGACTCTGGAACTCCATCCTTTGGCCCGACCTTTGTTTTGTTACACTCATCAAAGACATTTACACCTTATCAAAATCCAAGCTAGCAGCACAGCCTTTCTGCTACAGCTATTTCAAGGGTGCCTTATCCAATTGGCCACATGGTACCCATGGGACTTAAAAGTTCCAGCTCATTGGCTCACTTACCCTCCAACATCAGGCATCAGAACCATAGTTTCACTGTATCATGAACTTAAGAATGAGCCAAATGATCGCACTCACCATCACCAACATTTAAGTTCTTGAAAGCCAGCTAGGAAATAGCCCTCAGCAAGGTCCTGACCCAGGTGGAGATATCCAGGAATCCAGAGTCTCCGATGCTCACATGGTATGTTGTTGAATATTAACAAAAATCCAGTTGCTAGTTTATGCTTTTGGGGACTCTAGTATTTTAAAAATTTAACTCCATATATATATATATGAAAATATGTGGAGTTATCCATTTACTTGTTGGTGGGTTTTTTTTTCTTTGTAAAGACTACTTTCTTAAAAATGGGTAATTTTTCTATAATTCCACAAATACAAAGAATTATGACCTGGACATCAAGAAGCTGGGAAATTATCATGCATGGAAAATGACATTCTAGATTTCATCCATTTCAAAATAAAATTTCATTCTTTGGAGGCAATGGCAATGATAGTTAACAAAATAAAAATCCAGAAAGAAAAAAAAATTGAGTTGAACTTAAAAATATTCTTTTTTTCCCAAACCTAACAAATTCTAAAGATATCTGCAAAAATAAGATGACAAAAATTAAATACAGACATCAAACTTTTATATATAAAAGTGAAATCTAACAAATGCATTGTAAACAGTTTTCAATTTTGGATCTATGGACATATTCCATTGATATTGAGGTACACAATCACTTACAGTAATTATTTTGTCAGATCTCTTAAAATTGAGAATTCATACCCTATTGAAATCAAATGTATGATACATCAAGATCATTGTATTGTCTTGAGCAACTAATAAAAAATGTTGAAAATAAAAACTATGATAATAAATAAGAACATATTCAGCATTCTTGAGGCCACTAATTTTTAACAAGGTAGCACATGCATAAAATTTAATGAATAACTTGGCAAAATTATAAAGTTGGTCTGATCCACAATAGCAATGGGATATTTTAATGTATCTCAGTAAATAAAAAAGACAAAACTGTACAAATTACTTGAACAATTTCAATAAAATATTACTATGACACATGTACAGAAATCCTGCTTGAGGAAAGATTTCTCAATATTTTTAATCAGAGAATAAAACAGAACTAAAAATAAGCAGAATGGCCATATTAAACTGTGAGGAGTAGGAAAACACCCAGAATTTTCCATCCAGTCTCCTCAGATAGAAGCATTTGCAGTCACCATACGTGGTAGACAGTGCTCTACCACTGTGCTACACTCCCAGTCCCTCATCTAGTGGCTTTGTGTTGGCATCACTGTAGCTGCCATATAATAAGTAGCAGATTAACTGGCACTGAAAACATAGATATTCATTATACAAATAAGATCTTATACCAATTTAACTTGTAGGGGAAAATAACACAGTATTTTTGAGAATGACTGGCTAAAAACCTCAGGGTTTGTGAGAAAATTCTAACTGAGGGATATTTGATGTGGAACTGGTACAAAAATGTAGTAGTAGGAAACTTCACCTCTGAGAACAGGGAAACCAATCGTTTTTTGTTTAAGTTGTAGATGAACAAAATACCTTTATTTGTTTATTTCTATGTGGTACTGAGGATTGAACCCAGTGCCTCACATGTACAAGGCAAGTGCTCTACCACTGAGTGTCAATCTCAGCCCAAAACCAACTGATTTGAGGATGGTTTTCATTAGCAAGGCTACGAAGCAGAATAATGTGCTTGTAGCAAATGTTCACATTTAAATTTATTTTTTAGCTGACACATAAAAAATGGTTTACGGAGTACCTCATGACATTTCCATACATGTCAAAAATGCCCTGAATTTGAAATTGAGTAATCCTAGTAATGAATACAGTCTAATTCCATCTTAAAATTGGGAGCCATCTCATTATGAAGTCATGAAAAGTTAATTTCTGTTTTACTAAAAATTACTGTGATTTCTAAACTTGTGTGGAATTCCTGCCTGTGCCTTGAACTCACCCATGCCTTGTTTTCCCTGACCATATAACAACCCTCTCTAAAACCTTAGTGACACCTCATATATCGTGGCTCCCCCTGACCAAATAACAACCCTCTCTGAAACATCAGCAATGCTTCATGAATTCTAATGTTTGGATCTAAATATTTTCCCTACCATTACATATTAAGCCATGTAGATCTTTAACTTACTACCTGCCTTTGTATTATGGTTGTCAAAATCCTGTTATCTATAAGTTCTCAAGACACCCCCCAATGTATTCAAGATTAGTTCTGCAGCTTCAGTTAGCTATCATGAATTTGTTTTAACTACTCTACTGAAAATTAGTTTTAGATTCTCAAGTCAGAAGACCTTTAAGTTCTTTCCAATTTCCTGCCACTACAATTTATTCTCCAGTGAATTGTCTTTTCAGGTTTGTTTGTATGCAAAAGCCTCTATAAGTCTCATGTCTGGATAAGAAATAACAAGGCCCACTCCAGCCTTATGAGATCAGGCTACATTGGTCCTCACAGTAGTTGTACTAATTAATAGTCCCATGAATTTACTTAGTTTTTGCTAAACTGGTGGGGCCATAATAGGTTTTCATTGGGATTTTAACATATATTGTCTTGATATTAGTTATGTTGAGTGTCTTTCATGTTTATTAGATGTAAATTATCTGTACCCTCTTCTAACTATTCTATCAGAACATCTAATTGGGTATAGGAGTCTTGGTGTTGTTCTGCAAGGTTTTTCACTTAGTTTATCATCCCTTTTGATGTACATAAGTTTTTCAATATAGTAAAATTTATTAGATTTTTCTGTTTACTCAATAGTATCTAAGGAGCAATTAATCACAAGCATGGGGTTTTAAAAAGAAGGAAGCCAGGGTGGAAAATAGGCAAATAAGTGATACCATATCACAAGTATGATTGGAAAGATAAAGCAAGGCAAAGGGAATGACACACATTACACAGGATATGATGAAAAGTCCTCTCCAAGAATATTTTATTGAATTAATGTTTTAAATGAAGTGTGAATGAGTGCTTCATTGCTTTCAAAAAAGTCTTCCCCTCTCCAAGGTCATGAAGATAGCCTACGCTGTTGACTTCAAAATCTTCTGTCTTATGCAATTGGATCTCTTCCTGCAAATGTCTGTATATGATGCAAGGGAGAAATCTAGTACTTTTACCATTTTGAAATCAATGATCTGATCTCCACGGACTGACTAGTCCATCATTTTTCTACTTATCTGCAAGAGAACCTTCAGTGTATAACAAAATCCACATGTGCACATATGTAGTTTGTGACTGCCTTTGTACAGTGTCTTGACTTTATGTCACCTGGTGAGATGTTTTTTCTATCCTCAACACTATGTTTTATGTTTGCCTGCATTGACATTCATAACTATAATTCATTCATTATATTAAGACTATATGGAAAATCATTCATTTTCCTTCTGAAGAATATTCCACTCACCCCCAATACTGCCTTTTTATTTATTTATTTTTCTATTGTAAATGATATCACTAAGGCAATACTTGAAAGTCTTTTGGCACCCCCTTTCTCAAGGGCACCTCTCCAAGGGTGGAGACACTGGCTGAGAAGATGTGTGAATACACAACTTTGTGTGATGATGCCAAAGTTCTTTAAAATGGTTCTGAAACTCTCCAACATTTCAGGTTATGCTGACCTACATCCGTGTTGATGCCAGTTACTATCAATTCCCTAACTGTGGCAAATGGAGTAAAAATTAAATGGTGTTTCATGGTGAATTAGGAAATAGCACAGACTGCAGATGAGAGGAGTTCTTATTTAATTCCACAGGAAGAGGACTGGGCTGCTCTAGAAGACATACTGCAAACACTGTCTTAAATTTAGAAATCAGAACTCAGAGAATTGTTACATGGACATAAATTAATGCATTTGATTAAACAGAAAAGAAAGTCAGACTTTTTATGACAAAAGATAATTATTTTAACTATTTATTTTGAAAGTGAAAGCCAGCTTTTACCAACTAGGTTACATGGGTAAAAATACACTAATGGAACAAGGTAAATTGTACCCCAAGATTTTAGTGAAACACAAACATACACATAACACACATTATACACACAGAGAGCAATATAAAAAATAACTATGTTATGCTTGCAAAATAACATGAAATTAATAATTCCATTTTCTTTCCCATGTGAAAGAAAAGCAGGAATACTTATTTGTTGTGTTGGAATTTTTATTTTTTTAATCTTTGTAGCACTAATAATGCCTTTTTCATATACATTCCAAAAACCTGAAAAAAATATAAATGGCTGTAACAGGAGGATAATGAATTCTTTTGCAAGTTAGGTGGTTTCCAATTATTTTGTTCTTAAAAAATTCCACAAAGAATTTATTGAGTTGTCAACAGAAAAAATCATTAAACAGGATTTTTTGTTATAAACAGCAATGATTTTTGGTTCGCTGAATACAATGAGCTTTTTAATAACAAAAATTGTGAACATGAACACTGCAACTGATCTTGCAATTTTACTCAAAGGCAAAGTCTTCTTGTCAAAAGGACATCACCCAAAGGTGTGATCTAGAGTGGGGAAAATGGAGTAGAAATACAGTTCAGAGAAAAATGGACAATGTAAAATTATCAGTTATCAATGTTTTCATATGGTTTTTACATAGATTCTGATGGCAGATAGTTTATCTTTTACCATTAGATACACAAGAAACTGAGCAGAAAGGATCACTTCAAAACATAAATGTATGAAACATACCATAAAATTATACCTTTGAGACTATTCACACATTTAAGTAAATATAAATGAGAAAATAATAACATCACAAAGTAGCTACCATTTATCATATACCTGATCATTTAGTACCTAACACTTCCCTATGAAGCAGGTAACTTCAAGGACTGTTAGCAATGAGGATGCAGAGTTTACAAGGCTAAGCATTGCTACAGGCAGAGCCACTCAGCATGTGTCTGCTTGGCTTTCTCATCTTCAAATAGGGATAACAAAACTTGCTTTATAATTATTCCTCAAACATGTTTTCTGAATAAAAGCAAATAAAATTATAAACAATTGATAAGAAATGGAAAGTCACATGAAGTCATGAATTCAGATATAAGTGCTCAAACAATAGAAATAAGACTCTTTTTATAAAATACTCTCAAACACACACTGAGCTTAGTTTTTCCTCTCAGCAACCTGAGAGTCTACTGTCCACCACAAACATGAAGAAGCATATGTAATTCAGCTCATATGAATTTTTTAATCTGCAGTGGATGGCCAAGTACAAGCAAGGCACCCAGGTCTCCCTCAATCTGCATAGGCTTCACTAACAGCACCCTGAAGGGTGGATACAGCCTGTCACTCAACTTACTTCTTTGGAGGCTTCATTTTTTTTCACCTTTTCTTCAGTGTATTCATCCAAAATACTCACATGACATCCTAGTGCCAACAAAGTCCTGCAAAACAAAAGCAAACATTAGCTACAGGTGTCTTCCCTGGGTCCAGACAACCCAACCTAATGGCTGTGAAGGAGATAGTACTCCAACCTAAAAACACAGCATATGTCAGTTGCTTTAAAGCTAAACAAAACGTTTTTTTTATTTTCAATTTTTTACTTTTGAATAAAGTGCAAGATCCTAAATATTGAAATGGCACAAAAAGGAATAACTGGAAACATAAGTCTCCCCCTAGTTCCTTCTGTTTAGTGCCTTTTCCTTCTACAGAGGCATTGACTGCTGCTGGTTCTTGTACATTGTTGAACCCTGATGCAAAGAAAAGACTAACAACTCCATTTTTAAGTCAAATTAAAGAAAGCTTCTATTTGTGTACACAAAGAGAGCTGATCAGTGGCTGTCTCTCCCAACATGGGCTAGAGGTCAGCACCCCAGATTTAAGGAAAGAGGTTTTGTAGCACAACAAGTTGCAAAGGGGGGTGTCTTGAGAACTAACAGCTAACAGGATTTTGACAAGCATAACACAAAAGCAGATAGTAATTAATGATATAAATGGCTCAACATTTCAAGACAGAAAATAAATTCAGATCCCAACATCAGAATTTAAGAGGCACCACTAAATTTTCAGAGAGGTTTGTTAACTGCTCAGGAAAATCCAGGCATGGGTGAGTTCAATGCAAGGGAAGGCATTCCAAGCAAGTTTAAAACCTCAAAATATGGCCAGGCCAAATACAAAATCTAGTATTTACAGAAAATAGAAATATACTTTTTATAACTTTTGATGAGATGGCTCCCAAACTTAAGAGGGAATTAGGATGGGTTTATCACCATCAGCCTGGAGTCTACACATATTAAATAAAAATATGTGTCTGTGTGTGTGTGTGTGTCTGTGTGTGCATGCATGTGCACATGTATGCCATTGATGGTGTGCCTTTCCCACAAACAAGAAAATACAAGTTATTTCTCTATAACTTCCTCTTTTGACTTGAAAATACAACCTTCAGATTACTATCCTTTCACTTAAAGCTGGTTTATTTTTTTAACTCCCTGAAGTATTCCATAAGGTGGAAATGTCAAAATGCTTTTCTTTCTTATGTAAGAGCTTTTTATTAAAAAGCAAATCAGAACTGTAACACAACCTTAAATATTTGTAAATTAGGTCACAAAAGGGATGCAAAATTTTTGTGGTTTAATTATATATTCATACAGCTAAAGTCACATATAAAATCTTACACTAATACACAAGATTATTCCATGATTAAAAGTAGCCCAAATCTAATAACCTTAAGCTATGTTAGTAATCTCTTTTCCTCTTATCTTAATATTATTTCCAATATGAATTCCCTGACCAAATGGAATCTAAAAAATAAATCTAAAAAAATTGTTAAAGAATGACTTAACCTCTGCAAACTAAATGGTTGAATTACAAAAATTTCTGGGAAAATAAAGTCCTAAAGTACTAAGATTAAAATTACCATTATTGTACATGTATATTTTATCATGTGTTCATGATTCTCTTACTAATAAACTTTTTTAAGGAATTTTGCAAGAGTTGATCTAATTGACCTCCCTAATATGTGGCTTACATAAAGTTATTCAAACTTAATGTACGTTCATATTTATATTTAATTCACCAAAAATCTATTCTGCCAGAGGGAACAAAAATCTGGAGTGAAAGCATTTGGAGTTACTTACTAGTACTTACCAAGTCCTGCCCCATTTCTATTTTTTCTCAAGATTTTCTATCTTGAACACACACATGATCAGAACCCTTATCCTTCCAGGTAACAAGTGGGTTATTTCATGCAAAATAAATTTCATGCAAAATAAAGATTTAAACAAATCTTCCCAGTATGAGTCCATTTTATACTTTTAGTCCATCTTCCAATTGCCTAAAGACAAACCAGCAATCCTCTCTCATTATTAAATATCACACAGGACAAGCCCTAGCTAACAGAGTATCTTATTTTTGTTGAGTTTCAACAACTAGAGTCAGGTTACACTCAAAAGTGATTAGCTATTAAAATTACTTTTCCAAATGTGAAATCTTTTTTTTTCTCTTAGGGGAGGGGAAATTTTAGGCACAAGTGAGAGACAGGGTACATAAAGCTGTGCATTTAGTACGTGACTTTGTTCACTTTTTCACAACATGGTGGTTATTTTCTTATATATTTTACTAAGCCTATATAAGAAAAGATAGTGCTAAACCTATATATGAAAGCAAATTTGATAAAACATTCATTTTCAAGTCTCATAAATATATGCAGTTCTCATTATAAAGTCTCTACAATACATTTGCACATTTTCATAGACTAACATAATACACAAACTCATGGATGTCTCTTGCTATGCAGTTAATTTTGCCTAGATCTGCAATTATCTTCATAAATATTCAATAAAGCCACAAAAAAGTACTATAATTTTAGGAATTTATCCAAACTTTAAAGGAAAAAAATGAGCAGCAGAAATTCCATAAAACAGAAGGGAAACCAATCCCTTATTTTGTTTTTCTTTTTGTGTCACTTGTTTGAGAATCACTAGAAGCATACATGAGGTTTTCTATATATTGTTCAAGAACTTGGTTTTCTGATCTTAGCTTCAGATTTTCTTCTTTCACTGTAACTTCTCTTGCAGAGAAATCTTCAAGATCTTCAAGGCAAATATTAAATAACTTTGACAAGAAAGATTATGTATTGAAATTAGAGCTACAAAAATTCTGTAAGATGCTCTAAGAGGGGACAAGTTGTGGTGGGAAAATCCCTACCAAAGAAGTGACATAAGTAAAGACAGTGTAAGCAGGGAAGAGGCTGTTTGAACATTAGGCAGAGAACTTTCTAGTGAAGGGAAAGAGAACAGACAAGGCAGCAAAATGCAAACTTACTGGAGGAGGTCAAGGGGGCTGGAAGACAAAGAACAAGGGATGGTAAGGCCCTGCAGCTCCTGTGAAAATATGGGGTTCAAAAGCAATGAGAATCCAATGAAGGGCTTTAAGCAACCTGTGTGTGGGGTCACATATGTGCATGAGTAAATGTGAAATTCCATGTGCAGAATATAGAGAGAGGGTGGGAGGACCAGTTAGGAGACTCTGGGTAGTCTGGGTGACAGTCAGTCACTACATGGGGGTAGTGGGGAGAGGGGGACAGATTGTAGCTATTCTTGGAGTGATTAATGATGGGATGGACTCAGGGTTAAGACAAAAGGAGGTGTCCAGAATGACTCAGGGTTCCTGGCTGTGCAGCCAGATAACTGACTCAGGAGCTCATTTGATGAAGAGACTTCAGTGACACTGCTTCATCATACACTGAGGAACATGTCACCTGCAGGCTGGGATGGACACCTCCTCTTCTCATAGCAGGTGTCTGTTAAGGATCAACACTGGGGCACTTTGAGAAACTCTCCTCATGGCATGACCTGAACACCTGTGGAGAGTTTAGCTCAAGAAGAACAAAGGCCCCAGTTTAAGCATAAAGATTCACAATATTCAGGACTGGGAAGATTGCTGCCAGCAAGAGACCAAAAAAAAAAAAAAAAAAAGATACAGAAGAGGGAGCAGAGGGAGGACCACCTGCTCCTTTAGACAGGAATGATGACTTTCCATTACCTACTGTCTCTCCCCCTCTTCATCACTCTTCTCCACTGTCCTATTTCCCTCATTCCTCCCTCTCCTATGCCCACATATGTACCAATCCTACAAATGGCATTCAAGGAAAAATACATAGCCAGGAGAAAATCACCGACATCTATCTATATGTTAACTTCCCACGAAAGTATTCTACAAAAGTATGTTGTGTGTTGGTTAAACACCATTATAATAACAATTTCTGAACCATGACTTATTTATTCAGAAATTAAGACCTGGAATTTGAAAAGTATTTTATTAATTGAACATGACACCAGATACTAGAATTTGAGCCAGGTTGTCCACTCAAAGACACCTGGCTGCACACTCCAGTGACCTGTGCTATTCCCAAGTAGATGTTAGAACTTCATGTTCTTCTACAATAGGCAAATGACAGTTTGGGTGTAAAGTAAGTCGTCTGCTAATGATTTACATTACAGAAAGCCACAGAAAGAGTACCACATTATATTTACATTAAATTGCCCCTTTATCTAAAATGAGGGTTTGTCAATTCTCAGGATTCAATGAAAAAAGTTGTTAATCCCTCTGAGATATACTAAAAATCCAGCAAACAGAAACATGGATGGTGCTTGCTCTGCTGTACATAGGTGGAACTGAAGGCTTCAACATAATGCTGTCACTGAGCCCCCACATCAATGACAGGAAATAGAGACACTATTATCACACTGAACAAGGTGTTTTCTGTTTTTCTATTATTCATGTACTGAGTTGGCAAGGGCCCCAGCAGAGTAAATGAGAGAACAGTCTCTGGCACTGGGCGGCTTAGGGTCAAAGACTTGCTCCACCAAGGTGATCTTCCTGAAGTAACTCAGCTTCACTGATCCTACGAACTTTAAAGACAATTTGTCTCAAAAAATTAAAAGGGTTGAGGGAGTAGCTCAATGCAAGAGTACTGGATAAAACCCTCAGAACCCAAAACAAAACAAAACAAACACAAACAAACTACTAGAACAGACACAGTCTGTGCCTAATTTATTTCCCAAATTCTAGAATCTGAAACACTGTTTAAGTTTTATGTTCTGGGTCCTGGGTAAAATGGCTCCAATGAAAATAACTCCTTATCCTTAGCAAAATAGAAACCAAAAAAAACAAAAAACAATGTACTAGTTAAGTGACCTATTTGAATAAAACCAATTCTACAAGTCATCAAGGATGAAAGGGGCCAAAAGAAAAGTTACATAGTTTTCAAAATCATTTTCTGAACTTTTTACATAAATTTGAAAATATATTCATTTATTCTACCAGCACCAGTTTTAGCTTGGCAAAAAGGAGATAGTAAATTCAAGAGATCAACGGGTAGACAGCCAGTGAAGAGCAAAGTCACATTTGCAAGATGATTAATAAAAAACAAAACAAAACAAAAAAACAGCCCATCAGAGTTTTCCCAAAAGAAAAGACTACTGTGCAGACAGGCAGTCTCAGAGGACTCTATGAAATAGGGTGCTGTGACTCAGTATGCCTAGAAACAGGAAAGGCTGAATCCACACTTTCTAGCTACTGTCAGCACACAGATGTGAAAAGTGTGAAGTACAATGACACTTGTTTAACCCTTTTAACTCAGCACCTTTTAAACAGGTCAGATCAGTACTTCTCAAACCACCCATGACAAGGGACTAGTTTTAAATTTCCAGTTACATCATGGTCTGCATCTCTAATAAAATACAATAAAACTTCTAGAGTAATTAACATTTCAAAATGAATACATAAAGGATACATACCCACAATTTCAAGTTATTAGCTTAACAGGCATTAAATTTCTCCCTTAAACAGATATAAAATGTTTAATCCGTTAGTCTTAATATCTTAACTCATTTTGTCCCAGACCAGTCATCGCTTTTGACTGGTCTGGTTCCTGGTCTGCGTAGCACTGCATTGGATCACGAAATTCCCATGTTCTGTAACATCCATCAATACCTGTAGGATACCTTTTGGAAAATGCTGACCTAGAGCAAAAAGACACAACATAACAGGGTTAGAGTCAAATTCCCAGCAAATATCCATCCAATACACCAACACATTAATGGAAAGTTCTAGCTGGAATTCAGCTAACTTCATAACTGAGTTAAAGTAAAACATTTCTTTCTGGCTTTTTTTAGGTGAGACAGATTTGGAAAATGAAAAATTTGAGGCACTCAACTTTTTGAAGTTGTAATTGTGTGCCTGTTGAGGCATCTTGGGGAACTAACTCCACCAGACATGGGTGTTGTCTCTTAGTGTCATCATTAACCTGGGACATGACAGGAAATAAAATACTCTCAGGCATCAGATAAGCAATAATGCTTCAATGGGTGGCAAGTGGAGACCTAGAGCAAGAAGCAGCACTCAGGGCTATGCCAAGGGAAGCTGCCTCAGGATCCCTGGTCCACATCAGATCAAGTGTTAGTAGTAGGTTACCATCCTCCATGCTCCCTGCTCTCTACCCCTATCCATGCCTCAAGCTCCCATGGGTCTCTGCCATGCATACTCTTCGCCTGATGCCCACACTGCTGCTCACTCCACTCCTTCCAGCATTTGATCCGACCTTACTTTCTCCACGAGGTTCACCAGTCTTGCACACAGGGCAGTATGCCCACCCACCTTACTCCTTTAGATTTGTCCAAAATACTCAACACCTTTAACAGACAAGATCCTTATCTATTTGTTGGTTTCTGTCTCCCTGCACTTGGAAGAGAAGAACAAAAAAACAAGGATTTGCATCATTTGTTCTTTTTTAAAAAAATATTTGTAGGTCCGCTGAGCATTTGTGGCGGGCGCGCGCGCGTGCCGTCAGCGGTAGCGGGTCTTGAGTGGCAGGGGGTGGGGGGGGTATCCTCGGAGCGGGCGGAGGGGAGGGGGGAAAGGAGCTCAGGGTGAGAGTGAGCCGGACGCTCCAGGAGGCGAGGGGGGCAGGGGGAGCAGCGTCGCGGCCGCCGCCGCCTCCGCCTCCACCGCCTGGAACGAGGGGGTGGGGGACGGACGAGCCCCGATGCCGGGGGAGACGGAAGAGCCGAGACCCCCGAGCAGCAGGACCAGGAAGGGGGAGAGGCGGCGGCGGCCAAGGCGGCTCCAGAGGAGCCCCAACAACGGCCCCTTGAGGTGGCGGCGGCGGCGCCTGCGGGGACCACGAGCAGCCGCGTGCTGAGGGGAGGTCGGGACCGAGGCCGAGCCGCTGCGGCCGCCGCCGCCGCCGCCGCTGTGTCCCGCCGGAGGAAGGCCGAGTATCCCCGCCGGCGGAGGAGCAGCCCCAGCGCCAGGCCTCTCGACGCCCCAGGGCAGCAGTCCCAGGCCGCCAAGGCCCCGTCTCCAGTTCACGGCAAGAAGAGTCCGCGGCTCCTATGCGTAGAAAAATAACAACTGATAAAGATCCTAAGGAAGAGAAAGAGGAAGAAGACGAGTCTGCTCTCCCTCAGGAAGTTTCCGTTGCTGCATCTAGACCTAGCAGGGGCTGGCGCAGTAGTAGCAGGACATCTATCTCTCGCCTTCGAGATACAGAAAACACTCGAAGTTCTCGCTCCAAGACTGGGTCATTGCAGCTCATCTGCAAGTCAGAACCAATTACAGATCAGCTTGATTATGAAGTTGCAGAAGAACATCAGTCTCCTGGTGGCATTAGTAGTGATGAGGAAGAGGAGGAGGAAGAAGAGATGCTAATCAGTGAAGAAGAAATACCATTTAAAGATGATCCAAGAGACTAGACCTACAAACCTCACTTAGAAAGGGAAACCCCAAAGCCACGGAGAAAATCAGGGAAGGTGAAAGAAGAGAAAGAAAAGAAGGAAATTAAAGTGGAAGTAGAAGTGGAGATGAAAGAAGAAGAGAATGAAATTAGGGAAGATGAGGAACCTCCTAGGAAGAGAGGAAGAAGGCGAAAAGATGACAAAAGTCCACGTTTACCCAAAAGGAGGAAAAAACCTCCAATTCAATATGTCCGTTGTGAGATGGAAGGATGTGGAACTGTTCTTGCTCACCCTCGCTATTTGCAGCATCACATTAAATACCAGCATTTGCTGAAGAAGAAATATGTATGTCCCCATCCCTCCTGTGGACGACTCTTTAGGCTC